ACATTACATACATTACATAACATTACATAACATTACATAACATTACATAACATTACATAACATTACATAACATTACATAACATTACATAACATTACATAACATTACATAACGTTACATAACGTTACATAACATTACATAACATTACATAACATTACATAACATTACACAACATTACACAACATTACACAACATTACACAACATTACACAACATTACATAACATTACATAACATTACATACCATTACATAACATTACATACCATTACATAACATTACATAACATTACATAACATTACATAACATTACATAACATTACATTACATAACATTACATTACATAACATTACATAAGATTACATAAGATTACATAACATTACATAACATTACATAACATTACATAACATTACATTACATTACATTACATTACATAACATTGCATAACATTACATAACATTACATAACATTACATAACATTACATAACATTACATAACATTACATAACATTACATAACATTACATAACATTTCATAACATTACATAACAGTACATAACATTGCATAACATAACATTACATAACATTACATAACATTACATAACATTACATAACATTACATAACATTACATTACATAACGTTACATAACATTACATAACGTTACATAACATTACATAACATTACATAACATTACATAACATTACATAACATTACATAACATTACATAACATTACATAACATTGCATAACGTTACATTACATAACATTGCATAACATTACATAACATTACATAACATTACATAACATTACATAACATTACATAACATTACATAACATTACATAACATTACATAACATTACATAACATTACATAACGTTACATAACATTACATAACATTACATAACATTACATAACATTACACAACATTACACAACATTACACAACATTACACAACATTACACAACATTACATAACATTACATAACATTACATAACATTACATAACATTACATAACATTACATAACATTACATAACATTACATAACATTACATAACATTACATCACATTACATAACATTACATAACATTACATAACATTACATAACATTACATAACATTACATAACATTGCATAACATAACATTACATAACATTACATAACATTACATACCATTACATAACATAACATTACATTACATAACATTACATAACATTACATACACACATATACGCACATACACACACACATACACACACACATACACACACATACTTACACACATACACACATCTACACACACACACATGCATGCATGCATCCATCCATCCATACATCCATACATGGTTGTTATATGGTTGTCTATGTTTTCATTTCATTCTGGTTTTGCCCAGCTCCCAAGGGGAAACGGACTGAAACATGTTGTTCGAAAGCACTCTTGGATGCACAATGTCGTGACTGTTGCCGAGAATGGCTGACCTCATGAGACCACCAGCTGAAATCCTGATGCCTAGGTCCCCTAGGTGCAGAGAGAGGAACATCTTGGCCGTAGTCTCAGCTCCTGGTTGCTGCAATGTGGCACTTGGTGGCTGGTGATGGGTTTGAAGGTTGAGTCCAGCACCAGATTTAGAGCCTCACTTGGAGTTCCCAACTCACAACGTTGTGCAACTGGGGGTTTGCCGCATTGCAAGCCCCACCGGATGCAAATCCAAGCCCTGAGGTCTTTCTTTGGGTGGCTCTCCCGCCGTCCGACGGCCGAACGTGTGCCTTTGGAGCGATTAGCCGTCGATGAAAATTGGTGGAATCAGTCCCAAGTCGTTGCGAATGATCCACCAGCGGACAAAACGGTTGTGAATAATGAATGCCTGCAGGCACTTGACACGATCATTGGTGGTTGGTGCAGTCTTGGTTGCTTCCTGTCTTCACACTTTGATCAAATCTCCATGTTGCAGTACTTATTTGGCACTGAGACTCTGAGCAACTTTCCTTTTCCAAATGTGGGTTCCGAATGTCTTGGAATTCGGGACCAGGTTTCACCCGTGGGGTTTGCCTACAAACAGCATCGCATTTTTGGGTCCTTTTCGGGCGCCTTTCGCACCCTTGGGCTTGACAGGTGGTTGTACCTCCAGTACCTCCGGTGAGGGCTCCAAAACATACCCCGAAAACTGGGAAGAGCAAAGGACAGCTGGAAGTCGCTGGTCGTGCATGTAATCAGCAGAACCATCGTTATATTATCTCACTGACATTGCGATTGGGCTTGTCCGAAAATGGGGAACATCTTGCTTAAAGCATTCGATGGAATGAGGTACATATTCCGATTGCATCCGATTACTATTTTTGGCCAAACCCACATGTCCGAAAGGTCTCAATAGATTGGGCTCTACATACCCACTTTGGTGAGGAAGGAATTGTTTTCATGGTGCTCGGTTTCTTTTTGCCCATGGACTCGGGTTGGAACATCCTACCTTTCTCGGGAGTTTGCATCAGGATTGAGATGTCAGTGTTCTGTTCAACCTCCTTGGAGTAAACTTACTCAAGTCGACTTGGTCCACGCTTCTTCCTCGCTCCCGACTTGACATGCCCTGTCTGCCATGAAGGAAAGAAAGCGGAGAAGGCTGAGAAGGCTGAGAAGGCCAGTAAGGTTGACATGACAGCCGCTGGCTCCTGCGCCAAGGTGGGAAACTTCATGGCGTTGTGTTTAGAGGGTATCTTCAGTATCTTCCATGGGACTTCGTATGGATGTTGTCCGGTTTTTTAACTGTTCTGTTTTGGGGACTTTAAGCATCACCTGAGTGATTATTGGTGGTGACATCCCAAATCATTAGGGAATGTTCAGATGCCCACAGCAAGAGAACAAGGTCACTGGCTTGATTAATTGCCAATGTAGGCACTAGGAAGTCCTCCACAATGGCAAGCTCGATACTCCTGTTCGTGTAGAGGGCTAATGATTTAGTTGGTTACCATTGTTTTGTTTATCAGACAGACTAAAGGAGATATTTAGCCGGATATTTGTAATATTTTGTAATGCATCTTTTTGTCAGGGGACAAGATTTGGATCGGTTTGCTGAAGCTGGCTCTGCAGTGAACCATTGATCTGGTATGGGGATCTGACAGAATTGGGGGGCAGCTGGGATTGGGATGCGCCATGCCACCTATGGGACCATCTGTATGGGGGCATGAACATATTTTATAAACATTAATTTACCAGTAGTACCGCACAAGGCGGTGGCGGAAGTTTCAAAAATAGGAACCCTATAGGAGAGGTTGGTTGTTGTGACTCACGGATGGCAGAGCGAATCCACTGATGGACCGAAAGGTGGTTGGAGTTGTGCTTTTTGGAGTGGTTGCAATGGTTGCAGTGGTCACCTCACCACAACTGCTGGATGTAGAGTGGTGTAGTGCAGTTGTAGCTGTAGTTCTATGTAGTGGAGTTGTAGTTGTAAGTTGTAGTTGCAATGTAGTGTCATTAGTGTAATTAGTGTAGTTTGCAGTTGCAGTTGTGGTGTGGTGTGGTGTAAATAGTGTAGTGTATTGTAGTGTACTGTAGTGTTGTGTACTGTAGTGTGGTATAGTGTGGTGCAGTCTAGTGTATTGTAGTGTAAAGTAGTGTAGTTGTAGTTGTAGTTGTAGTGTAGTGTAGCGTAGTGCAATGTAGTGGTAGTTGTCACTGATTACAGTTGTAGTCGTAGTGTAAACAATGTAATTAGTATAGTGTAGTGTTGTGCAATGTAGTGTAGTGGTAGTTGTATTTGTATTTTTGTAGTGGTACTGTACTGCAGTTTAATTAGTGGAGTGTAGTGTAATGTAGTGTAGCTGTAATTGTAGTTGTAGCTGTTGTGGTGGTAGTGGTGGTAGTAGTAGCAGTAGTAGTAGTAGCAGCTGTTGTTGTTGTTGTTGTTGTTGTTGTGGTTGTTGTTGTTGTTGCTGCTGTTGTTGTTGTTGGTGGTGTTGTTGTTGTTGCTGTTGTTGGTGTTGTTTGTGTTGTTGGTGTTGTTGGTGTTGTTGGTGTTGGTGTTGTGTAATTAGTGCAGTGTAGTGCAATTGGTGTTGTGTAATGTAGCGTAGTATATTTGTATTGAAAACGAAGCTATTCTGCGAGACTTCCTCAGTGTTTGAACTTGACAACGTCAAAAACGAAACAATGCTGCGAGACTTCCTGATTTTTGAACTTGACAACATCAAGAACGAAACAGGTCTGCGAGACTTCCTCAAATTTGAACTTGACAATGTCAAAAACGAAAAATTCTGCGAGACTTCCTCAGTGTTTGAACTTAACAACGTCAAAAACAAAGCAATTCTGCGAGACTTCCTTCAAAAATGGAAAGTTGAGTGCAGCGCTGGGAGCCTCGTGCCAATGCGTTTTGCGATTTTTCCATTCCACCTGTCTAAAATACTGCGCCTGCCATGTTTTGCACAATCTCTTACGCCTGCCATGTGAAACGACATCTGAACGTCCAAAAGTGGTCCGAACATGTGGTGTTTTTAACATGTTGCCTTCGAAATGTGCTTCGCACCACAACGGCGTGCACTTTTTCGACATGTCAACTTCCAAAAGTGCTCCGAGACCGTAAGTTTTTAACACTTTTGACTTTGAAATGTGCTTAGCGCCACAACGGCGTACACTTTTTCGACATGTCAACTTCCAAAAGTGGTCCGAACATGGTGTGTTTTGTGCATTTTGACTTGGAAATGTGCTCAGCGCCGCAACGGCGTGCACCTTTTCAACATCTCAACTTCCAAAAGTGGTCTGAGAATGGTGTGTTTGTACATTTTGACTTGGGAATGTGCTTCGCGGCGCAACGGCGTGCACTTTTTCAACATCTCAACTTCCAAGAGTGCTCCAAACATGAGGTGTTTTCAGCGTTTTCACTTGCAAATGTGCTTCGCACGGCGTGCAATTTTTCATCTCTCATCTGGCCAGATTGCTCCGCACCCGCCGCTTTCGCGAGCCTACTTGTCGACCCTCCTGGGCCACAAAACATTGGAAAAACACAGTGTTTCGCGACTTTCCTACCTTTTCGCGCACCTGGATCTTCTTTCTTCTGACTGTCTCTTCTTTGATCTTCTTCCTTCTTCTCTTCTCTTCTCTTCTCTTCTCTTTTCTGACTCTTCCAATCTCTGCTTTTCATCTGTCCATACTGTCGGAAGTTTGACTTCTAACTTCCTTCGACCAGCCATTTGGAAGAAAAATAGAGGGATTCCGGCGGGAGGACCGACAGCCAGGATGGAACTTTTTGTTCAATTATCTTATCGTGTGGGCAAATATGCAATTTTCGCGGCCAATGCAGTCCGTGCAATCGTGCCCAGGCGGATGTGAGTGAAGAGGCTGAAAATCAAAAGACGCTGGGTGCCCAGCTGATCCTGTTGATGTTTTTTTCCCCACATCTTTGTGTGGGGTTCTTGTTTTTGGTTGTGCACTCCTGTCCGCTCCTCCGCCTCCTCCCGCCGTCTCCCTCACACAACGTGCTCACACAACTTACTCACATACAACTTGCTCACACGCAACTCTCTCACACAAAACTTGCTCACACACAACTCACTCACACACAACTTACTCACACACAACTTGCTCACACACAACGCTCTCACACACACGCAGCTTGCTCACACATAACTTGCTCACACACACACACAATTCTGCCACACACACACACACAACTTACTCACACACACACAACGTGCTCACACACAACTCTCTCTCTCTCTCTCACACACAACTTGCTCACACACACAACTCACAACTCGCTCAGACACAACTTGCTCACACACAACTCTCTCACGCACATGCAACTCTCTCTCACACACACACACGCAACTCTCTCACACACAACTTACCCACACACACAACTTACTCACACACAACTCTCTCACACACACAACTTACTCACACACAACTCACTCACACACAACTTGCTCACACACAGCTCGCTCCCACACAACTTACTCACACACAGCTCTCTCTCACACACAATTAGTCACACACAACTTGCTCACACACACAACTCTCTCACACACATGCAACTCTCTCACACACAACTCTCTAACAAACAGCTCTCTCATACACAACTTACCCACACACAGCTCGATCACACACAACTTACTCACACACACAACTTTTTACGCACAGCTCTCTCACACACAACTTACTCACACACACACACAACTCAACTTATTCTGTATGGGGTGTGGCAGGCGTGGTACTTGGTGACATCGACCTTCACTTTGCGTGGCAGGCGTGGCACTTATGGCACTGGGCTGGCTCTGGTGGCGCGCTTGGGCCCCGTTTGACGCCGTGGTTGCCCGCGGCTGTTTGTGTTGCAGGCGTGGCACTTGGTGACATCCAGTGTCATTTGGCGTGGCAGGCGTGGCACTTGGTGACATCCGGTGTCATTTGGCGTGGCAGGCGTGGCACTTGGTGACATCCGGTGTCATTTGGCGACTCTTTCCCACACATGTGGCGCACACATTTTTTTCACTTACTACTCTTTCCCACCATCTTTCCGGCCCATTGGTGATTATTGGAAGAAGTGGGCATGTGGGGTTATCCGCTCCTTTAATTCTTTTACCCTGAGGTAAGCCAACATTGATACGGGCAAAGACAGGTTCCAGTAGGAAATGATCCACGAATGTGGGTTTTCATACCTACGTTGGTTTATTGGAGGATGCACCTCAAAGCCACTGAATGCGGTAGTTCTTCACATCCAAAAATAGACGCTAAATATTATCATTATTATTTATTATTATAGTTAATATTTATTTTAAATAATAATAAAATAATAATAATTGGTAGTGTTATTATTGTGATGTTTTTATAATAGTAAGAATTATTATATAATATATTGCAGTTTATTTTATTGTTCTAGGGATCTGAACAGCCGAACTCCACGCTACAAACAACCCATCTCCATATTTGTCATATGTGCCATGGTCAAAACATGGGTACGATAAATCGCCCATCTTGGTGGATGGTCATCAATCCATGAATAGGGATTCATATACTGACGAATCCGTAATGATGGTGGGATGACCATATCCCATATACAATGCTTTGACCATGACACATATCGCTGTAATCGGGCTACTTGAGGCAACATGCGATCCTGACGGTTTTGGTGCTGTTTATCCTCTTCAATGCGGCGTGGAAGTGGTCATGAACCGCCCCTAAAGGTGGCACGGTTGGGGTTGGGCTTGGGTTGGTATCCTCCGGCAAGTGCTGACGGATCAAAGATCAACTATCTAGCAGTGAACTGGCTCAAAACCCAATTGTCCCTGATGAGTCAAAGTCTAGACATGTTTTCATTCATTAGACTCTGATTAGACATGGTTGTAACATGTTTTAACATTTTTCAACTTTTAATGGAAATCTTCCATGCCACTCAGCTTTCGGCCAGGGGTCCGTCGCATGCTGCGCCCTGCGCCCTCTGCGCCTGTTGAGCTCCTCGTACGCGAGTTTGAGCTCAGCTGTGGCGCGGGGAAGCTTAAGACGCAGCGGTCCATTCGTGTGGATCCAGTTTCCAACCATTTATGGAGGGTTTTCACCATCAAAACTGGAGGTTTCCTGTAGAATTTCCCTAAAAGAATGGGAATGTCGTATTTACAACTGAGGAAACTGATCACGATTATTAGCCATTTGGCGGGTTAACCAGTGTGTTATATGTATATATATATATATATACATACACGTATACTTACACACATAAAGGGTAAAAAATGTGGTAAACCCGATGCCATATAAACCATTCCCAACGACTTACCCTGAAGTAGGTGGAGGAAGAACAATCTCTAATTGGAAATTTATCATTGGGTTTGCCATATTGGATGTTGTTTTTCCATTGGTTCGTCAATTAATGGAGTTACAAACCCGGCATTTTTTTCCCCCCAAATGTCCTCATGGTGAAGGCACGCTAGTTGCCGCCGGGTATTCATCCCTGGGAACCTCTTGAATTATCCACGAGAAGGTACATAATTACAGACTAGAGTGGTTACTTAAAACCGCAGGTGTCAAAGTGCGACGTGGTTTCTCTCAAATTGCAACGAAGCGGGGCTGGGTCAGCGGCTGGGTCAAGCAGAAATGCCTAGGACCTGGAACTGGCCACAGACTTTAGAACCAGAGAAATCCCTTATCTGTGATGATAAGACCTACTTGGTCTTCCAGTGTGTTTTTTTGGAGACATCCCAAGTTCAGAGAGGACACTTTTTTTGTTGGAAGATTAAAACAATGCTTTCGACTGAGTCCATCATTGCTTTTGGTGCTAACCAGGGATTTCCATCAGCTTCCCCTTGGCCGAGAATGATGTTATGCTTTGTCATGATTGACAAGTGGCTGCAATCCGCGTCGCTTGTGCTGCTGGGCCCGAAAAGTGCGCCACAATGTGCCCATGTATCCTGCTGGCATTGGCCCCATAGGTCAAAATATTGGGGCCAGGGGACCCACAGATTTTGGTCGTAGTTTATGGACCATGCACTTTGAGGGGTACCCAAGTTTGACCCGAAACGGATATGATGTCTATGCGCTGCTTTGCAAGAGATACATGAATGATTTGGCCGTGGACGCAAAGCAGATCATCACTTCTGATGAGGGGGAAGGCCAGTGTCATCCATGTTGTTTGAACTCAAGTGTTGTAAAGCTGGCCAATTTGGATAGTCAGCCTTGCAGACAAACCTAGCTGGTTTGACACCTTGGCTGAACGGGCCCTTCTTTGCGCGTGCCGTCGCTGGGACGTCGAACGACACATGTCACCTTGTCCTGCTTCGTGGTTTCGGAGGTCTTTCGTCTTGATTCTCATTGGGAAGAAGAAGATGATGATGATGATGATCCACAATGACTAGCTATTTTTGATATGGCTGCAACAGAGGGCTCAACGGAGGGTGCTTCGCCGGGTTGGAGGCCTCAGGGTCGCGACCTTGCAGCCAGATCAGCCAGATCCTCAGCTTGGCGACGAGCCAATGGCAGTGGAAGAAAACAACAGTGAATACTTTTCTGTCTAGGTGATGATGGAGATGATCCCGAAATTAAGCATGGAAATACAGTCATCCTGAAGCGGAATGTAGCATATCGATTTAGACTTATATTTAAATTTATTTATTGACTTTTATAACACCAGAAATGGTTGTGTGATCACAACTCTGCATGGCCAGCACGTGCTTACAGTGTCATGTAGGAGCCACTTCAACCAACAGCGGGATGGCTCAAGGGTCGTGAGGCTGTGCGCAGATACTCAAATATTGCGATTGTGGTAGGGAAAAGGATTATTACCAACCATCAACTTGAATGGAGCCTCGTTTGAAGAGAAACCGATCTATTTATCGATACAACGTTATTTATTTATATATTGACGTATTTGCAAAAGAATTGATTGAATACGCAGTGTATTGGTGTATGTAGATAAACCTAATTATGAAACAGTAAGTTTTTGGTCTGCAACAATAGATACAGGTATGCCCACATATTCCAGTCAGAGAGGATTCCGTTCATTTTCACTATTCGTTGCGCATACCTCGATTGTGTGCGGGGAACAAATTGAAGCATCGGCCTCACCTTTGGTGGTTACAGGAGAAAGCATCAACAATGGCCTTGGATCAGGTTTGGGACTGATTCCAGAGTAGCAAAAATTATAGGGAAGGATCATCCACCTGTTAAGGATAAGAACGGCGGAGCCATGATGCGTCCGCTCGCTTGGTGCTTCGTGGGCTGGGGCATGGCCACACCTGCGAGATGGCTGGAAGGCCTCAATGTGTTGGAGGGCAAAACCTATCCGCACCATCCAGTGATGCTGCAAGTTCCACAGCAGAGTTTCAAAATCGAGCCTGGCTTTGTGATGGACCTTTGTGGCTTAAAGGTTCCACACTATTTTGACTGCACAAACCTTTGCAATCGCAGCAACTTCCAGTGGTTGCTTGGGTCAAAACTATGACACATGATCCCTCCGTTGGTAGTTTTTGACCCTCGGACTGGCGGATTCACCTTTGAACATCAGGGGCCCCATTGCTTTCGCTCCTCAAATGGTGTGTTGAAAATATATGAAAATATTGTACACTGGTTGGTATACTGCCCAAAATGGCGACCTGAGTAAGGGAAACAGATGTCTGACGGACTATTGGATTTTGGGGTGCCCCATGTTAGGACAACCCCATGTCGACCAAGTCCTGTTTGCGTTTGAGAAACTGACCCCCAACGGATTTTTGAAACATGAGGTTCAACCACCAAAAAACTCGACCAGATGTAAAAGGGACTAGGATGGAATACAGATTCCCAACTTTCTACAGACCAACCGGGAGCCACGAAGCATGTGAAACGTTGTGAAACTGTCAGCCGAGCCAACATTGGAGGCTTGGAGATGAGTGGCTTGGCTGAGAGAGCACGTACGTGACGTTCCCATGATGTCCAATATGATTGACCGTAGGAGGGAACCCAGGTATGCATTTTTTGGCCACACTCTTGCAGTTCCCTCGATGGAGAGCCACCAAAAAAATTGAAACAGGTGGCCAAAACGATATCAAAACGAGAACAAAAACGATAGCAACATGTTCATACATTTCCGGAATGGGGGTTCGATGAAACTTACACTTGGCAGATTTTTGTGGAAAGCGATGCGAAAGTACAGCCCCTTTGATGGCTTACTTACTACATGGCCCAAAAAACGGGCGCTGTCATGCTGTGTCTATGTAGATATGCGTGCATAATCCTTTCAATGGGAGAAGTATCAGTGGTGGCCCAAACTTTGGAAAACAATCAGAGACGAGACATTGATAAGGATTTTACCGTAAAGAAGTGTATAGATGTGTGTGTAGACATATGTGCCTTTCTTGAATACCTCAAAATGTTATTCTGCTTGTGTCCGCGTCCTTTGTAACTGGCAAAGACAGGTTATGTACGAGATAGCATACTATGCTATAATGTAAAAATATGTGATATGATATGAAATAAAATATGATTTAATATAACATAATGAATGTAATACCCTGTCATACAGCATAATATAGTTTAAAATGTAGTGTCTTAACTTATCAGTAGCATGATGTAATTTGATATAACGGTAACATGATATAATTTGACACAACGTCATTGAATGTAATATAACACATGATGGTTTAATATGTTTTGATTATAACATGATATAATGTCATGTAAGGTAATGCAATATAGGGAACATAAACATAATAGACTACGATATAATGCAACATGATATAACAAAATCTAATACGATGCTATTATATGATCCAGTAAAATCCCACGGAATAAAAATAATGTTATATGATAGGAGATGTATAGTAAAATGTTAGATAGTGCAATATCATAAATTATACTCCAATACAACATATTTCACATATATATATACATAAATATGACAAATGATATAATATGATGTTATAATGCGATATAATATGATACAATACAATATAGAACATAATGTAACTTACTACACAATATAATAAACTGGATTGTAATGCAATGCAAGGTAATGTAATGTAATGTAACATAGATTAATGTAGTTTAATGTCGTTTCCAAATAATGTAATATTGTATGTATATATATATGTATACATGCATACACTGTTGGTATAATGTAAGAAAACACCATAGGATAAGATCTAGTTTGATATATGATACAATGAAATGAACTATAAATGTATCTCATGTAATGTAATGTTATGCAATGCAATGCAAGGCAATATAATACAATGTAATGTAATAAAAGATAATGTGCTATGATATAGTAAATCAGAATATGGTTTTGGAATAATGCAATGTAACATAGTATATTATGCTAGACTACCATATAGAATATCGAATGTATATAAATGTCTATGTATGTTTCTTTCTGGAAACTGAAACGTACTTGGGGTAACGGTTGTGACAACCCCTCAGTGATGGCGTCAGGTTCAACTACTACCGTGACGTTCCATCGCGGCGGCTGGCGTGCCTGGAACATCAAGCCCACAGTTTAGCAAAGCTGTCGCATATCCAGGTGAGGCTGCCGCTCATAGACGATGACTATGGTGACTTGGAGAAATCATCCAAAGGGGGAAACCTGGGGGATCCGAAGTGACCTTGGGTCAGTCCCAATGTTGGAAGGTCACTCCCGCAACATATCCCGCAATTTCTTCACGTATGCTCAGATTGCGGCAGTGGCTAAATGTCCCAGCGCCTGCGATTTATGCTGTAGTTACCAGTTCCTGCATCGGTGACCCCAAAATTGGTATGGTCCCAAAATTTTGCTGATGCAGCGTTCTGCAGATTTTCCCGTCCGGTCAGTTCTAGTATTAATCGTCATAAACTATCCCACTGAATCATCACACCTCATGTCATGTAATGTAGTGTAATGTCATGGAATGCATTGTGATGTAATGCAAGACACCCCTTTGCCATAAATGTGGCACCGGCGATTTGGTGGACATCTTGGAGATGATTTTTATGGTCCGCCATGCAGCTTTAGGGATGGGAACATTGGGCCCAAGGTGAACATGTGAGCGTGTACCAGTCCATGCTGAGACATCGCCATGGCACGTTTCGCGTTATGGAGCTGGGTGCTCGCTGGGGTACCTGGGCGGCCCGAGCTATCACCTTCCTGCGCGCGGTAAAACCAGAGGTATTGCATGAGGTGGGAGTGAGGTGGCGATGAACAGGTATAAGAAATAAATCAGATGTGGGTATTTACAGTAATGATGAGACTTGGAGGGGGTACTGGGGCATGACATGAAATCAAATCAGCTAGATTATTCGCAGTTGCTGGCGAATCCCACAAGACGTAGTAGAATCCATTGGTTACTATTAACAGGGGCTCTCGTGGCGGTGGTCACGAAAGCTAAAGGTAATTTTGCCAAGTGCTCAATGGTTCACTCCAAGGTTATTTCACAACATTATCATGACGTCATGTCTTTTGCTAGAATCTAGCTCATAGGTTTGATAGTGAATTTTGGGCATAGGTTAGTGACTAGGTTTGATCATGATATGCTCCCAACATTGATAAATGGAACCGTCATTTTGTTGCCTTGGGAAATAATGTTCCTCGATCTCGACTTGTGAAAGGCTTATTTTGTTGAGCCTGCTCGGCGGTCTTGCGGTGCAGTGGTGCAAGTGATGAAGTTGAATGGCGCCACGCCCGCAACATTGGACATGGCTGCTGTTGGTTATTTTTCGCCAAATGAATGGTCATAATCAGCCAAGGAGTGCTCAATGGTTGGTTCTCGGAGAGTTTTATGAATTTGGTGGTAGTTATGCTGAGGCAGAACCTGGGATATGGTAAAGGAACAATCATGTAATCGCCAACACACGCATACATTTGTATATATGCGTACATTGCGACGCATATTGACATATTTGATACAATTGTCATGTCTTGTATCTGGCCCACCAAACTTAGATGTTGATTATTACTTTGTGTGTAGTCGTTTAGTGTGTTTTCCATGGTTGCTTCGTTTGGATATTTGTTTTTGCAGCTGTGCTTTGATCTTCGTCATTGTTTCTTCCCTCCATTGTCATTGTCTATTTAGTTGGATCGCTAACTTAGACTTAGAGAGAGATAGAAATACTATTATTTGTTTGATTCAATTTTACTCCTTGATTTACCAGTTGATCTATTTCGATTTGATTACTTGGTTGATTGCTTGATCGGTTGAGTCATGGATTATTTGATTACATATTTGACTGTAGAAAGTCCAACGACGGACCACAATTCACTGCGGATCAGCCACTTCGATGTAATCGTAGATGCCATCGGCTGACGGTGAACAAATCATTCCAGTTTTGCTCTTATTCTGTTTCTTTATCCATTTTCATCTTTGCCATATGACTGCCCTATGACTGCCCTAAGGAATAGTTCATCATCCAGACTCTGCTAATACAATTAGTTCTACTTTCATCTTGTTTCATAACCCATAGCAACACTAGTTGGGATACCTCTGAGATAAGTCGACAAATCCATTGACAATCCACCGTCGCTGATTGTCCTTCATGATTTTGATGTCATTGGAAGTTGCTGGACACGAAACAAATATGGTTAGGTAAATTGAAGTGTTGTTTCCCCCCCAGGTGCTGCAGGTATACCATATGATAACTATAAGTTATAAGCACAACATATATAGATATATGATGATATATATATATATTTACACACATAAATAGATATGTGATATGTATATAGATAGACGGATGGATGGATAGATAGATGGATTAGCTGAGCTTAGGTTATGTAGACAGATAAGAATGTAAAACCGACAGACCACTGTGGTTCATCACAATACACAGTCAACGTCGGTCCGTTGGTCATCTCAACAGCAGTGCACCAAGGAATTCGTTATCAACTTCGGTGCACTTTGGCAACACCCGAGGTCTTCCTGGAGATGATGCAAGGTGCTCTCCGAACGAACTGGTTGATTTTTTTTTGTTCTCGGAATTTTGAGCTTAGCTGGGCATTGAACCGGATGTACTAGTTATTTTGCGGTGCTGTTTTTTTGGAGTGGCGCCCCACGGGCTCCCAAGCTGTTGTTCACTGGTAGAAACTTCCCCCCACACACTTCCCCCCACACGCTTCGGTCCCCACGGCACCCTTGTACCCACCTCAGTCCCCATAGGTGTGCCATAGGTATCAAGTGATTGTTTGCCAATAATTCAACAATCTTCAAACCCGAGCATCTGCCAGGTATTGATTTCATGGACCTCCTTCACGTAGATATCCAAGGGGCCGAAGACAAACTGTTCACTGACCCGCGGGTTGCGCAAGTGCTGCGGAAACACGTGGCACGAATCATCCTGGGAACCCATAGTGAGCTCATTCATAGCAAACTCGTGCTTTGGCGTGGTCGCTTGATGGGGTGGGTCCGGGTGGGTCCGGGTGGGTCATTGGTCGCCATTTTTGGTAAGACAGACCTCAAACCCCAAATTGAGAATGTGGGACATCATGCCATTATGCTTCATGATTTGTCTTACCACAGTGGTGCAGTGTCCAGAACTTTGCACAGACCTATTGCCGGGTCCACAAATGACATTTCCAAACAGGAAGACAGTTTTTTGGAAGAAACTACACGATTGGTGGATCTTAGGTGCTCCACGTTTTGGGAAGGGAAAACATGAATATCGCCGTATCGCAATTCATTTTGATCTACAAAGGGAGGGCACCTCATCGTCTGGCCTTACCCCTAACTGGATGCTAGGTGTAAAACATTGCTGGATGGTAAGATTTTCGCATGTGATTCTTATACTTCATTTGAACAAAAGGTCCCACTGGACTGGTCAGTGTTTTGGAGTGGGACACTATAAACCACTACAACCCCATCGCTTTCTCACAGACACCAGCAGAATAATCATGTTTTCTATGTCTATGCGTTTTCAACCGTTGCAGACAATGAGGCTGAACTATACAAAGACTGGATTCCTATTTTCTCTTTGCCAACTGGCCCTGGCCATGTGGCATGTGTCTTGGGTCTGATTTGATGTTTGGTGTTCAATGGAGTTTTTCCAAGGCTTTATAGTGGTCAAAAAATAGCTGTGGCTTAAAATCAGCCAGCCCCTAAAAAAAATAATACCCCCAAGCCAATCCAAACATGTCTAGCCGTGTGTGGGATACCTCAAGTTGCGTCGTTGAGGGCCATGATCAATATTGGTGCTATCCCAAAAATCACAAGCGCACACATACATGCACACATACAAGATATACCGGCATACCACTATATGTACAGTATGTGTGTATATAACTATACAATATATATATATACATACTATATATACATATATACAATATAGATAGATATATATATATACTATATATATACTATATATATACAATATATATATATATATACAATATATATATATATATACAATATATATATACACAATATATATATATACAATATATATATACACAATATATATATATATACAATATATATATATACAATATATATATATATACAATATATATATACAATACATATATATATACAATATATATATATACAATATATATATATACACAATAAATATATATATATACAATATATATATACAATATATATACACAATAAATATATATATATATACAATATATATATACAATATATATATATATATGCATACAATATATATATATACAATATATATATACAATATATATATATATACAATATATATACACAATATATATATACAATATATATATATATACAATATATATACAATATATATATACAGTATATATATATACAATATATATACAATATATATATATGTATACAATATATATATACAACATATATACAATATATATATATATAAAGATGTGTATTTTCCAGGCACGCATACAATGCGAACCGTACTATGGTTGACTGTATACGAACTGTATGTATATATATATATTGTATATATATATATATTGTATATATATATTGTATATATATATTGTATATATATATATATTGTATATATATATTGTATATATATATGTATATATATATATGTACACGCATTGACATATTATTTTTTCATATCTACCAGTCAGTAGTACCGCACAAGGCGGTGGCAGAAGTTTCAAAGATAGGAAACTATGGGAGAGGCGAGGTTTTTGTGATACATCGTAGAGCGAACCCACTGATGATCTGATGGATCGAAAAATGGTTGAGGCTCTGAGTCTCTCTCTCTCTAACTCTCTCTCTGTCACCTTCTCTCTGTGTCGGCGTGCGCTTTTTGATCATCTCAGCTTCCAAAAGTGCTCCGATAATGGTGTTTTTTTTTAGAATTTTGACTTGGAAACGCGCTTCCCGCCACAGCGGCGTGCTCTTTTTTGATCTCTCATCTGCCCCAATGGCTCTGCACCCGCCGCTTTAGCGAGCCTACTTTTCGACCCTCCTCATTGGAAAAACACACGGTGTCGCGATTTTTTTAAACTTTTCGTGCGCCTGCATCCTCTTTCTTCTAACTCTTTCTCTTCTCTGATCTTCTTTCTTATTCTTTTCTCTTGTCTGATTCTTCCCACCTTTGCTTTTCCATCTGTCCACATTGTCGGAAGTTTGACGACTAAGCTTCCTTGTATCAAGTAAATCATGACCCAGCACGCCTTTTTAGCTTTTGCAGGCCTTATCCGCACATACAAGCCCTTGATTGCGATTTGATTGTGGCCGTGCCAACCAACGTTTATCCCGAAGTCTATGGTTACTCACAGGAGTGATCCTTGTGTTGGATAAATTTGTTTGGAAGCCCGTGCAATCTGGATGATAGGAACATTTACGATTTAACCCCTATATTTGGGAAGAAAACCGTAGTTTCTTGTCGATTTTGCCTGATTGATCCAGCTGCATTTTATTCGGCTGAATTATACAGCTACAGCGAGTGCAAGTCATTGTCGATCACATTGCCGGTTAATCGCCTTAATCCTCTCTGGTCCCAACCAAGCACCCAAGACTTGAATATTCAACCATTTTCAACATCCGATCATTTTAGTATCATCAGGGTGCTGTTTGGTGAAATGACCAGCAGCCCTGGGGGCTGTTGCTGGATGCCCCCAGTTGCTGGATGTTGTGAGGATTGCCTTCGGATGCCAAGCATTTTGGAAAGTGTTCGGCCAGGTGAGTGTGTGAACTCTTATCCCAACCTCAACCATATCCATAATTAACGTTCCAGAACCATCCCTATCCAAAACATCATCCCAATCATCATCCTGACTAATTACGCACATCTCCAACATATCGTTTTTCTCCTTGACACCCAGGCCTTATGGAGCACTTCCGCCAAAATGGTACCGACTTCGGCCCAAGTGTGGAGGATTGGAACCGCGTGCGCGAGCGGAAATGCTTCCATCCGACTCCGCAGGGTGGAGTGGTGAACATGGATGGCCTGTTAGTTTTGGACAACGTGCGCTGGGTGGATGAAGCCAAGGCCTTTTCCTTGACCCACGGCCATAAACATTTTTGAATCGGGTTGGTACTTCAGGGAATGATTTTGCAATATTCACACCACTGACTTGTTGTTGTTGTTGAGGTTTTGCTGGGGGTACAGGGGTCTGCCCTCGAACTATAGTTTTGTGTTTCCATAGTTCCACAACTTTTAATGGTGCACATTGCCGGCCATCTTGAAAGGGAGGGCCGTTCTCTTGCATTTGAATTTCACTTGATCACTATTTGGCCGTTTCTGCTTCTCTCCTTTAGATGCCTCTACTTTTGCCTTGCCGTTGGCTTCTTTTCTGCAAATACCGTCAAAAGAAACACAAATACAATTCCAAAAAGGTTTCTCGAAACTAAGCGAAACATGTATATATATATATACTCCCCAAGCAATTTCTCACTCCTTTGAAATATGCAGTCCTTTTGGAACGTATGCCTTGCTGTAAAAGCACACGCAAAAGTAGCTCAAAACATACGAGCAACGGATGCAAAGGTCCACTGTTTCGTACGGGCTCTCCAAGCCATTTTTTACCTTGACATGTTGGGTTGTAAGCCCATCGAACTATTAAAGAATATGTTTTGGCTGAAAGTGACCTCGATGTTCATGGTGCCAGAGTAAGGAATGATACAGATCTGCGAATCGATGATTTGAAAGCTTGACCCCGGCGTGTCATGTTGAATGTGTTTAACGGACACGAGCATGTTCTCGTGAGCTGCAACGAAAATCGACCGACCCTCATGAAGGTGAGCGGGGGACGCCACTTTCGGGGCTGATTCAACCATCACCTTTGATATCAATTTACTTTGCAGAGTTGCACTTGATTGTGGGTGTGTGGGTTGAGCCACACTCATGTAGTGTGAAGCAATACACACTGTATGTGTTTCTTCGGTGTTTTTTTTCAAACAACCTTGTTTTGAAAAGGACCTTTGGGCGACAAAGATGCGTGTGAAAAAGTTGAAAGTTGTCACAGCAGCGCGAGTGACGTGCCATTGTTTTTGCCCGGGGTCATGACCGACTATAGACAACCTGTTGTTCATGGCCGTGAAAATGCTTCCCCCCTGCCATGACCCCTCCAGTATAGAGATGGTGAAGATTCACATAGATTTGCTTGTAGCCAACCGTTAGTCAACCACCCATTGGAGGTTCACCGGCCTGACCTTTGCATAAAGGAACCCCAAAAGGGAATAGATGACTCCCATCAGCATTCCTGCGCTCCTCAGGTTGGACTCTGAAGGTAGGTCGCTCTTTTACCACTTTCCAATAGTGGGATTTTGCGGGCTTGGAAACATGTGGCAACATCTGACATTTCCCCCTGGAGATTTGTTGACTGACTTCTCCAACCTCCAGAGTTGTAGAGTTCGTAGATGTGAGTTCGATGTGGATGGAGCCCCCAATGGTTCTTAGACAAGAGAAAATCTTGGATCTATCTAGATTTTATTAGATTTTAAGATTTAAGACATTTTAAGACTTGTTTTTTCTGAATTTTCAGACCCTTTCAGCTTCATTGCGCCATTTCACCGCTTCCCAGACCATGCTATCGCAACTCCACAGGCAACTCCATGCGGAGTCAAAGACGTCCTGTTTCAATCCGCTTCGCCGCTTCATGTGAAGCGCAACAATGCAGTGGTTGAGTCGGTTGAGACATGTTGAGACCAAATTCACAGGTGTCAAACGCAACCTCATCAATGGCAAAGGCACCGAAGACGGTGGTGCGACATGATGACATAGGTGGTTGCTTTTGTAGATGTGCTAAAGGTCCCCAGCACATACTCAGCACCAAGTTTCCATTTGAAGATATTGAAGATATTTGAAGGGAATCCCATAAAAAATGTAAAAATTGGGTTGGGGATTTTCGTTGTTTTCTTTAAAACATAATCTCAAGGTATCCTGAATCCTCACACATCCATGTCTTGCCTCCATTGGCCCCCTGCATTGTATTTTCACTGGGTCTGATAGCCGAATCTCCGGTGAGGGCTCCAAAGCCTGCCCTGAAAACTGGGAACAAAGGACCGGCAGCTGGAAAACCAATACTGGTTGTTTTTACCAACCGAAATGTTGGTGAGTGGCTGCAACCTGGGTCCCTTGCGCTGGGTCCAAAAAGTGTGATACGACGTGCCTGGGCATCCTGCGACATACAGGGTCAACACTTTGGGGCCAGGGGACTACAGATTTTGGTCATTCTTAGTATGTTTGAACCAGGCAATTTGAGGGACACCTACGGCTCTTCAGCTCTACCGATATGTCACGCTGCTTTGCCACACATAGTTTGATGATTGGCCATGGACCCGCAGCAGATCATCTCTGCGGAGATTTCGGGGTCCAGTCACTGGAAGTCTCTGATGCTCAAAGTTAGCCAATTCGATGATCTCCAATGACTTTCATCTATAGGGTTCGGCTCAACCACCAATCAGTTGATGTTTGTTTTTCGCTGGGGTGAATCTGAAAATGGGTCATCACTGCAAGTGGTTTTAGTTAAGAGTTACATCAATTATCATCCCCATTTTCAGAGTACATAAATGTTGCATGGCCATGTAATGGTATAACAAATGTTACATAAATGGATCATAAGCGTTACATAAATGAGGCCATTCTCATCCACATTAAATGGCCATTTGGTGGCTGCAGGGCTCGAAGGGCTCCAGGGAGGGTGAAGCGCGGGTTGCTGGCCTTGGGGTCGCGACCTGAAAGCCGGAGCCTCAGCTTGACGATTGTGAAACATATTAAACATATCAACATATAAGTAATTATCATGTATAATTACTACAGTTGAGTAACTCTTACATAACTCTGACATTATAACTTATAACTATATAAGATGTGTGCGTGTATGTATATATACTGTATATATATAATGCATATATGATGTAATTATATATGTATAATATGTATATATATATATACACATATTGCATGCGGAAAACAATGAGCAAATGTTGTTTGTCATTGGGTGTACTCTATTGAACACGGGATGACATATACCTGAGTATATATTATATATACACATATGCAAGACATACATACGTATTTAGGCATGTTCATTCATTCGTTTCTTCAATCTGCCATACACAGATACCATTTTTTCGGTGACATGACTACCGGGCAAGATAAATCAGTTGGCAAAATGACTTAACTGTAGTTTCCATCTCAATCTTGGAGAATGCGACACGACCCCCATGTGCATCGTCCCCACATGGATGATTAGGGTGCATGCTCTGGTAAGTTTATTTTTCCTATGAATGCGGGACTATTATAAATACCTAACTTAAAATATCTAAATTTACTAAAGTAAACATTATTTCCTTTTCGGCGTAGGGAAAGATCAATCGTGTGTTTGGATTCTTGGTGAGGAATTGACCTGTGCGGCCTGTGCGGCCGGGGGATGCTGTGCCACTGTGCCAGGCGATGCCGAAGTTCAAGGGCAACTTATGGAACATGTGGGGTTGCCCTTTTCGAGGGATGGTGTGAGATGCTGCTGGTTGGTCGCCTGAAGGATGCAGTGATTTTGCACCTTGCATGAGCCCTTAGTATCCCTTCATCTGCTTTTGCCCAAGAGCCGAATGGAATCTTCCGGAATGATTATGACCATTATCATCCATTATCCCAAAACCAACGGGAACATTGGAGGTAATCATTACTCCCATGACTTGTCGATTATTTCCAACAGCACTTTGCCGAGCCCACAAACCGGAACGGAACCGCAACGCTGGAACCCTGGAACCCTGGAACCTTGGAACCTGCTGTTGGGTTGCAAAGCTGGGTTAATTGATGCTTGAGATATTCCAGAATTTTTCTTACCTTCATCGCTGTTGATTGTAAGAGCTTATAGTCTTCTACTCCACTCACAAAGACTCCAGACTCCACATCCCCCGTGTGCTGTGCAACCCCACCTCAACCTTTGGAACGGTTAGGAAGAATTTCAACCATGCCTACAGTGGTTCGATCCCCTGCTGCATATCCTGATATCGACGGTTCAATTCCATGGAAAAGACTCTGGCATTGGATGGGAATCCAACCTCACCATGGCACTCTATCTCCAGTCCATACAGGGTCACACAGCCCCAAAGAGGGTCAACTTTGTTAGGTAGCTTATATAACAGGTGAAGGTTTGGCTACAGAGGGTGGAATCTAATACCTGGAAAAAGGATCTTTCTTTGCGGGCGAAAAAGTAACTTTATTTGCAGGGCATCTAAGATTCGTGTAACAACGCAAAAGTTTAGAGGACACCTTTTGGTGGTTCAAAATTATCAGCCCCCAAAATTGGATCGTTCTTCACAAATTCCAAACGACGAACTCGCCATTGAAGGTCCACCTGCAATCGCTTGGTGGCGGAGCGGACCGAGCTGCGCCGTGCCTCACCTCACTGGGTACAGCTGGCTATGGAAAACCTATCACTTCACCATTATCTATCAGATCTATCAGATCTATCAGTACTGGGTTTCATGTTGACTGGGATACTGGAGGGCATGCTTTAATTTATTGGTTAACTTCGAGTGTAATGTGGCCTTCATTTGGGGATGGGTCAAAAGTCAACACTGATGATTTTCAAGATAGTGGGGATGAACATGACAACAACACAATGATCTAGAATCTAGATGTTTGACGTGAAAAGCTGGGGATTCCATGCTCTCCGAAGCCTCTTGCAGGCCATGAAAAGCACCTCCAAGCGTTGGAGAGCACCAGGGGCCAAGTCATTTGGCACGAAGGGCTTGGGATCAAAGCATCCAATTTTCGACAAAAAACATAACCTAACATGACTGACTGGAAACTTACAACTTTCTATAGTAAATGGATAGTTTTATGTTTTTTTTGCTAGCCGGTCTATGTTTGGAGCGTCCTAGAGAATTGGATGATTTGAACATATCGAAAGGTCCTGTGATTTGAGAGTTTTGCCAGAAACTTCATGGGCTGTTGCGGGACCAAGAAGTTATAGGTTGTGACCTACATCCCAATGAGGAAGCCTGGTAGGCTTGGGCATTTCTCAAATCACAGTTGTGGATTATATTTCGAAAGTCTTTGCAAAATTGAGTGACAGGTTGGAACTTAATGGAATTAAATGATGATACCTCTACAAACAAAGCAACGTCCCATGATGAAAGATAGGAGCTCCATCCTGAGGTAGATGCGACACAGCCCAAAGAGCATACACATCTTCGGTCCAAGTTGAAGACTCGGAAACTCCAAGAGGCTCTTCGGGTCGCTGGAAGCTGCGCCTCTCATGCTGTCACAGCATCTCCCTGCGCAGATGCAGTTGGGGATGGGTCAAAGTCAAAACCCATGATTGTTCCATATTGTTCCATATAGATTGGGGGATGAACATAGATTTATAGCGACAATATGATGTAATCGCATTTCCCAGCTAGACGAGCGCCTTATGGGTACCAAGAATTCGAGCCATAGCCAGCTAGACTTCGAGCGGCCATGCGGCCTGACTTTGGTGCAATGCCATAGCAACAAAGTGTTTGATTTGGTTACAAAATGGGTCATTGTTGACAGGGCTTCCAAGGATAGTGTCTGGCTACAGACATTTTTTGAAGTTTCTCTATTCAATTTGGAAAACCTGATGTTTGTGCCTCAGAACCATAGCCCAACTGCATAGCTCAGTAAAAGTTGAATTGAGTCGATTGCCCTATTCGACCACCAAAAAAATATGGGGTACATAGGTCAAGGTGTGAATCTTGAGCCATAAATGTTGACATATTTATGCATACTTAAGATCTATAGATACCGAGATAATCCGAGATATTTCAGTTTTTTTTACCCAGCTATTTCTTTGGTGCCAAAGCTTCGCCATCGAATCCACCCCCGCCGCAGGATCGAGCGGCCGAGATCCAGGTAAAGGGCCCGACATGAGACTGTAGTAGAAGCATCAAGAGGATTCAATGTGAGAACATTGCTCAATGTTCATTTTTTCAGGGAAATCAACTTTGGTTTCCTGAATTGCCACGGTAATCGTTTTTATTGTTTCATGTGGAGGTTGGGTTTTCACCTTTTTGTTAACGGTGCGACGAATTCCGACAGAATTCAACTATGCCAGTTGAAGCCCGGGAGGCTCACACGTGACGGGTCAACACCTACCCATGTGAATGGGGGGACATGCATCATCACACCCAGTTCTTTTCATTTGAAAACCAGGAAATTCCAAGGAGTTGCTCCATAGCCGTACACAACTGCTGTCTCGGTGAAGTTGGTCCATGTAGTACCGCACCATCCAGAGCGCAACCGTGGCCTGCAGCTGGAGAATCGCATCTTGCTTCAGAAGATGCTGAACATTGATACGAAACCCTCTCAGGTGCGGAGATGGTATAGGGGATGGGTCATGGGACCATTGGAGATGAAAAATATCCGTGCCAGCTAGTTTGATGCCAAAAGCAGGGTTGAATCCGTACCCAGATGTGGGGGGCCATGAACCACTCCACCACTCATGACATCCCAAACATCTTCCTTTCAGGCCAAGAATTTCAAGTATGAACATACATATATATATACATATATATATACACATACATATAACATATGTTTATATATACACATACATATATATATATATATACACATATCCAGGTGGATTGAATGTTTGGTATGTGAATGTCACTGCGTTTCTCGACATGTGGCATTGCGGAAGCGAGTCTGCAGAATCTTTCATGTGACATGTCAAACCAAGGTTGGCAGGGAGGGCACAGATCTGGACTTAGTTCTACTTCCCTTTTGTGTGTTTCTCAAAATTGGGAACCTGCCAAACCAAGGCGGGATTCCTTACCTAAAATACATTAAAATACCGAAAAATGACGAATTTGGGTGATTTTTGGGGTCCCCAATTTAGAACCCTAGACAAGTTGGAAACCCATGGCCCATCTGTTGCGCCCCACACCTGGATGCGGCAGTTGGCGGATGCCATGAACAGTAGCACGACTAGACCTCGCAGTTTGGATCTTAGTGGCTCAGTTTTGGGTTTGCCCAACAGTTATCTGAGATCGTTTGACAGGTGGCGATTGAGGGCCTGGGCCCACGAACTTTTTTCTTCGAAATCTTGAGACACCATTTTATGGCCATACAATATGGAGAACATGAGGTTTTAAACTTTCATACCATGGGATGGAATGTGGTTCCAAATTTTGAAAACCCAAGTGAGTACTGAAAAAAATCACTCTCCAGTGGAGCCAAGGTTCAAACAACAAGCGAAACATGTGGAAAAATCATGCCTTTGCACTTTGCGGCACTCCAACAGCCCGAAGAAAAGACAATTCCAGCTGAGTAGGGCTCAGAACTTACTGTTCGGGTGATTATTGATACCACTTGAGAAGTTTCGAAGCACATTCACTTTTTGGGTGACTAGTTGCAAAATTTTCCTCATTTTTCATCAACCATCCGCGGTAAATGATGTTGAATTGTACCACACCAAAGCCGCCTTATATCTTTCTCGCAGAACATTGGAACCGTTCCTGCAAAACAGGAGGTTGTTTACCAGCAATATTGAGACATATTGAGATGTCACAGGGATATTAATCATGATATATCATGATATATCACCAATGATCAACCGTCCAAAAATGTGACTGAACCAACCAAAGGTTGCTGTTATCCCCCGGGTTTTGTTGGTGAAACCTCCAGGGTTTACCGCCTACACTCCCAATTCTCCCAATGTTCTCCAACCATTTCTGTAGTTAATTATTATTATTACTACTATTCTTATTGTTAGTACTATTCTTATTAGTACTATTATTACTATTATCATTCTTATTATTATTGTTATCATTATCATTATTATGATGTTTTTTTATTATTATGTTTTTTTTGGTTTCAACCATATTGCAGCCATACAGCCATATTAGGGAGGATCCCCAACCATAGTTTTCCACGGTGCCATCCGAGGCCTGCACGGCGAATCCCAACGTCGCGAGGCGGAACGGATCGCCGCGGAGAACCACGTCAGGGGCGCCCAGTGCTTGGAGGTTGGAGGAGGTCCAAACATGGCTGGTGTTTTTCATAAAATGTATTCATTTGTAGGCTAGATTCATCTAAAAAACTTCATTTGTAATGCTGGGAGTATGTATGCTCATATACTCGTCACCTTTTAAGTTGTTCTTTTGGAATAGAATGGTGCGAATGGAATGGTAAAACTAAGAACCAATAACAATGAGAAATGACAATAAACCCGTTTTGGGGTATGGTTCGCAATACTATCTAAGTGGTAAAGTTGGGGAAGTATTCCAGGGTTTATGGTACTGTATTGGACTTACCATATGTTGCACTGCAATTCTGGTTGGTGGTTTGGAACATTTTTTATTCTTCCATTCAGTTGGGAATTTCATCATCCCAACTGACTTTCATATTTTTCAGAGGGTTGAAACCACCAACCAGAATTATATTCATGTCATTTGTCATTACAGTGCGATTTCTGTTGATCGCAGTTGGTGTTTTTGGCTCCATGAGATGTAGCCATGAAGAAGTTCTTAGCTTCGACACGCTTGTGGCCACCCACAGCGCAGTGGTGCTGGGCAGTGGTGAAGTTCCAAGTCGTGATGTGCATTTTTGTGCATTGCTGTTGCACCATTGGCCCAAGATACCAAGATATCAATGAAGATGAGATGGAGCTCTTTGAGCTCGCCAGGAAGATTTTGATTTTCCCACTTCTTTTGGTGTGTGTCTTCGGCATAGCAGAGGGATGTTCCAACAAGCCCAGAGAACAGGCGTTGGTGAGTTGCGGGGTGGTTATCCTGGAATTTGGTGTCGAAATCACTTACTACAACCTGCTATCTCGTGGTGGCCTTGGATTTCAAAACCAGCGGGCTCATGACTATCGTCCCATCTATGCAGCTCGCTGGATTGGCTGGTCTGTTGCTATCCCAATGCTGAATTTTATGAATCTGTACCCTCTCGTGGACAATCAACCATTCATGCAGGTCCTGGCACGACTGTGTCCGCAGTCAGCAGCCTCTGCTGCATACTGTTGGACATGCTTTTTAGGCTCAGTGGTTCTCGACCCATGGATGGGTTGGACGTTGAATGCCCTGGGGTGTTTTTCCTACATCCTTGTGGTTGTGGATGAGGTGTGCTTTGTTTCTGATCACCTTTTGGCAACAACAATGCCTGCTCTGAAGGGCTACAGCATCATAGTCAAGGAACATATGTTCGTATTCTACACTGGCGTATGGTTGATGGGACTTGGGGGCTTTGCAAGCTCCTATGCATGCCAACGCTTTTACACAGTGACGGACGTCAGTTTAAAGGCTACTATGGCCTTCTTGCTATTTCTATATTTGATGTGTGGTGCTCAGAAGATGGAGACCGAGACCGAGACCGAGCAAAAGAATTTGTAGAGATGAGAATTTGCACTTTTCACCTCATTTGAGGATTTGGTCACTTTACTCATGCAATACATAATAGCTGTCAGAGCAACCTGAAGCTGCAAGTTGTCATCAGCCTGCAGCTGAGGAAAAACATAAATTGTTTAAGCATGGACCCGTTTGCTCGAAGCAGCAAAAGAGGGCTGGAAAGGTTTTTAGTTTTGTGATGGCAGAATTTATGTTTAGTTCAGCATAGAAACAGCAACAGCGGCAACAACAGCAAAAAGAAGATGAAGAAGAATACGACGAAAAAAGCAAAAAAAAGAATGGAAGAAATAGAATAATGATTAGAGGAATACAACGGAATCATGACAATCGACAATGATTCCTTCAGGTTCCATGCCAACTTCTGTCCTGGCCTATTTCCCCTGCTGAACGTTGACCCGCAAATCCGATGTGATGACACGTGGCTCTGGCCGACCGTTGAGTCCCAAAGAAGTCGGACATTCTCCCTGGCCCTCTGAAAAAGATATAAAAAGATAGAAAGATAGAAAACCCAAACTCCAGAAACAGTCTAGAAATGTCAAGAAGCATTCTTTTCAGTTTTTATTTCTTTGTGGCACCCACGTTCGGCCAAGGCGCTACTCACCCGACTCCAAAATACGAAGCCATCCATCGATCCTCGAACATGGGAGGAAGAGGAAGTCGATCGCCAGGTGCAGTGGATGGGGAAGAAATGGTGATATCATGTCACAACATGTAACAAATTGGATCGGTTTCGGTTTCGAAAGTTTCAAATGCCATGGATGAGGTTTCAATCAACATAGGGAGATCACTAGAAGCTGTGATTGGTTGCGTTTTAACATTTTGGGAGGGGTGTTGAAGACGATAGGTAGGAACCGCCAACTAGTGTTGTTGTTGTTGTTGTTGTTGTTGTTGCAGTTGTCGTTGTTGCTCGTTTGATGCTTTGTTTTTTCTTTGTACTTCCCGCGCGCAGTGGCCTCGTGTGTTCCTACATCTCGGGCTGCAGAAAAACTGTGGGTTTCTGATGCAACCCAGAGCAAGTGCAAATCCAGAAGGTCTTTGACACAGTTCCACATTTTGAAAGATTCCCTCTTTGATGCCGACTGTCCAAGCAGAAGGATTGTTGGAGCTGTCATGTTACAAGGTTGAACAAACACTTCAAGAAGGAATGAACGCACATCCAAGAGCTTGAAGCGCCTGCTTGTTGAACACATTTGGATCCAAATCTATGATTTTCCACCATTCAAAAGTGAAGAAACCGGCCCAACTTTTGGCAATCTTTTTCGAAGGACAAACTCTTCCCAGCATTTCCGGGGTTTGCCGACTGAAGCGTAAAGACGTGAAAGATGAAAGAAACCAGAAAGGCAGCCGGCAGTAGCAACTGTATCTGTATGGTTTGTTATTGTTAATGGTTTAAGCCTCCTTTCGCCCTCCTTCTCCTGAACGGAACCCTTTCCCAATCTTTTCCGAGCCCATGTACTACTTGGGAGAAGAACGACATGAATGACATATTGTAGTCAGTGAACATCCATTGATCTGCCAGTTGAATTCCGATATGAACATCAGCAAAACTCCACAATTTGGAAAGGGTTTGATGGTTTCGAGCCAGAGCAACGTACGTGTTTTTCTGAAAACGGGGGATGCCTGATGCCCCACTGTATGGCATTTTTGGCTTGGAAAATAAATTTCCCAAACATAGTTTTTGTCATGGATGTTGACGTTCGAAAATTTGAGACAGTCCCACATGGTGCCATGATCATTTTTTTCCAACGGCTCATGATTCAGGTCGTCATTCATCCATCATGCAATCTTTGTCAGTGACCCATACGTACCATGACATATCCTGAGATGCCAATTCCAAGGATTGATGAAGTCAACATCTGCACCACACTTCATGTTTCATCGTGGTAAGATAGTTTCCTGTAGAATCATAGGAAAATTTCAGTGATTCCACCCAATGAAACATCCAATGTATAAGGGAAAAAAGGCCCATCAGTTTCTCACTAACATTGCCACAAGGGGTATCCCCCAATTTGAGACAACCCATGTTTCCAGGCGCTGAAGTTTCGGCTGTCCCAGAATTTGGCTGCCCGACGCGTGGTGAAGCTGCGAATGTGCCTTGGAGCAGTTCAGTTGGGGAAATGGATCGATCCATATCAACCCCCATTTGGTATAACCATCCGATCAAACGTGGCTGGCTGGAAAATCCCGTATAAGTTTGGGCATTGAAATGTGACATTGATCGAACTAAATAATTTTTCCAGCAAACCGTGGTTGATTACCAGAGGGTGGTTCAATCCCCCTAAAAGGAAGCTCCCCGGTTTTGCTTGTTGATATGCATGATATGGTCCGGTTCATATCAAAAATTGAGTCACATACTGAAACACTCTAGCTTCTCCGGGTAGGCGGCCTACGAAACTTGTTTGCTTTGCAAATTTTCAGAACCACTGGCAGATTGCATGCCAAGCAGCCTTTAGGTTTTGCTTTGTATCCATCTCCTTTTGTGGTTTGGGTTTCTTCCCTCAAACGTTTCCCGTTCAAACTCATGAAAGGGCTGCTAATGGCAAAAGGAGGTTCGGTGTTTTTAAGGATTTCGAAAGTTGCAGATCACATGAGCCTCGTCCAAACCCAAACTGATGGTTTTGCGACACCGATGGGGTATGAAGATCCATGATTCCCAGCCAGAAATGATGGATTTTTGATCGATTGCCATATCCCGGAAGATCCCTGTGAATCATTGCTCTGGGTAAGAGGTGGATCATGACCAATCTATTCATTTTTGGCACCCATATGGGAGAGCTTGATCTTATGAGGTGGGACTCATGATAAACTTGCTGCTGAAAGGGGCACTGGACTTTCAGCTTTCCCAAGGCCAAATAAGGCAGGCAGCTGGAATTTACCAAGGCACCTGGGTCGTTGGTTGAAAAACTGGGCCAACGAATGGGCTTCTGGTGGAAACATCTACAGTTGGATAAAAACAAGTCAGCTTCTAAGTTTAGGGCCCCATCTTGTATTGATGTGGCTGTTCTAATCCAGAAGGGCCATGGTCAAAAACAGGGATGTATTGTACATTCACCGGCATCGTGCCAGGATTGCAGATATCGCGGTGCGAAGCAACGATAGTGAGTGGGAGCGGGTCGTGCGGCCTTTGACGGAGATGGACCCGTAACTCTGTGGTGCTGGGCTGGTGCTTCAAAGGCTCAAAGGCTTAAAGACACCGGTGAACTTTTGAGTCCTCAATTTTGAGTTGTGTTCATATCCAAGAAAAAAAACCATATCATTTTTCAAGTTGATTTTTGTATAGTTTTGCTCGCCCCGCATTACTCGACGTACCAGACCTTTTGGTCAGTGTGACCCAAGAGGTGGAAACGATGACCCGAGTGTGGTTCAAGCTTCCCTTTCAAGAACTGGCACCCCAACTCCCAACTGCTGAACTTACTGTACTCCACTGGAATGGTTTGTGTCACAAATCAATCTGTCAAGACTCAAACTGTTTCTGGGTTGAAATATTACTTTCATGATTTCATGTTCTTTTCCACTTAGGATGATGATCTCGACTTACCTGATTGTAACGGCTCACCAACGAGATCAGAACCAGCCCAGCCTAAGCCTCTGAACAGCGGAGAGCGAAAGGGCGACCTTTGGGGTCCCCGGACCGGACTCCAGTCGCAGCTTGAACAAATCGCAGGGCAAGTTACCGCTTTTTAGGACAGTTGTCGACTCAAAAAGGTACATCTATGGCCTACAGCAGGACATGATTTCTTCAGAGTTGGTTCAAAAAGTGTTTTGTCTTCACGTTTCACCTGAAGCGATACTCAGTGCTTGAGACAGTGGAGATGCCATGACCATCCAAGACCATCCAAGACCAATCTGTATGGCACCTGGATTAGCTCCCCTTTGGGGAAGATGGGAATGCCAGGATGCTGTCCCAGGTTCCCAGTTCCATGGTTTCATCTCAAAATCTCCATGAAGCAGGTGGGTGGTAGACCCAGATGGTTTGAGGAAGGCAACAACAACTTCTTCTTTTATTGTCTGGAGATTTTGAGATAAACTCACACTAGGGTTTGTCACTTGAAATTGGGCAAAGGAGCCCCTGGTCATCTCAAAGGAAAAAGGACACTTCAAACGGAAACTTAAATGTTTCTGGGGCATCCAATTTCCAGACAGGCTCAAATAGCTCTCAACATCTCTCAACCAAATGTAGTCGTCTCACCGTGCGTTTCACGAAGTGACACGGTTGGTGCCAATGTGCCCAGGGCGGTGCAAGTGCTGACGCTACCGCAACGGGCGGCCGGAAACACCCAGCTTTACAGTTGGATTTGCTGTGGCTATCGGGGCTCCAACACACATGGCAGGTGATTTTGCAGGATTTGAAACTATCTGGCTTTTTTCGGGGCCTTGATTGGCCATAACCCTTTTTTGATCCTATGGACTTCGGGCCGGGCATGTGATAAAACAGCAGACCTTAAGTACGCTGGTAAAAAGTGCAAACATCTGATGTAAATGCAGATTTGTTTTCGCAAAATCTACCTGGATGAAGTAGTTGGATTCTGTGGTTTAGCCAGAGAATCCGCGAACCAAGGATGTTTGACAAGACACATTTTCGCTTGCAACCAACTGCACCTGGTTTCAGACCAGGTGAAAAGACCAATAAATATCTCAGTGGAAGCTGGGATAGTTGCTGATACTGAGGGTCTCTATGGGTGGCCAACTATAGATCGATGTACCTTTTTTTTGTAATCATCCGTG